TTGACATGACAAGATGGAAAATTGAAAATCTTAAGGTGCGTTGTAAAACGGAAAATTGAAATTGAAATTGAAATTGCTCTCTCTCTCTCTACATCTATATATGTATATATAAGCATTATTCAAAATTTTGACGTAGAAAAAAATTCTTAGATTTAAGAAAATACTACGTAAACATCTTTTGAGCTAAATTGATATACACCAGTTATTTTACATATTGTTATTCTATTATCAAACAAATTATCCATTAGGCTAATTATTTTTTTGCTGGACATTGAATAATTTTTCGTGTTTAGTTTTAATAAATTGTTTGGGTAACCGCATCATGCTACGATCGGACAAACGTTATATGTATGGGATCAATAATTCGTATGATATAATGTAAATGAAAGTCTTATTTTTGATGACTAATGTATCGAAACTATTTATTAAACGAAATCGTTTGATATATAATAATAATAATAATAATAACATAGAAAGGTGTATTTCAATAATTGAGCAGTTTTTTCAGAATATTATTTCAATTATTTTATTTGAAAAATATTGATTTTAGAACATGAAAAGGAATTATTTTATGTGTGTGATATACAATTAACTTTCAACAAAACTAATGATTCATGTGTGTGTGTATATATATATATATATATATATATATATATATATATGCAACTACTATATCGCATTTAAAAATCATAAAAACCTATCGTATAAATTATAATAATATATATAAAAATATAAATAATCATGTTCTAAATTTTTATTTCAAAATAAATATATATAAACAAATCATATTTCTTAACAAATAAAATTATGTCAAAAAAGTAAAAAATAATAATAAATTTATGATAATTTCAATAAAAAACGATAAATTGAAAAAGTAAATTTTAAATAATAAGAGTGATATAATATGATATATATGTTCAATCTAAAATCTTAAAACATATCATATATATTTTATCATCATCAAATCGTATGTAAAACTACAAAAATAAAGATATGTTTTCTATAATTTTTACACCTAATTGCATGAAAAAAAAAACAAAAATAAATGTTGGAAGAGAAAAAAGACCGGTCCAAGCCGGGGTAGCTCGCTCGGGCTCGCTTGGTCGAGCCATCGAGAGAAGCCAGCCTTGAGTATTTGGGCCTACGAGGCTAGCCCCACTTAGGCCTAATTCTCCGACTCTTGGGTCTTGACAACCCCTTCCCCGAAAAAAAAAATCCCGAATCGAAATAAAAGGTTAAAAAAATTAAGGAACAAAACGTAAAAGATTGTATAATTTACATATAATCACCGAGAAAAAAGAAAAAATTACACAAAAACAAAAATTTAATAAATAGTATTAATGGGTCGGTAGCTACGTAAACAAATAGTAAAAAGTTTAATTTTTTTTTTAAAAAAACTTGTTATAGATTTTGAATTCAAAATAAAATTGTTATTAATTTTGTCAAAAATTTGCTTAAACTATCTTCAAGTGTTTGAAGCTGGGACATACATGTGATCTTTACGATTAAATTTTCCTTTCTTCTCCTCCATATGTAGATATCTCATATTCCACACAAGTCCTTTCCCAATACATGAATAAGCCGGTTGTTATACACTTGCAAGTTGCTTTTCACGTTCGAAATATCTAAAAGGTTCGCACGGGAATGGTCTTTTCTTTTCCTCCCAATTAGTTCCTACATTCATAGCTTACACCGATAGTGATTGGGCGAGCTGCAAGGATACTCGCCGATCGGTGATAAGTTATTGCATTTTTCTTGGTGATTCTCCGATTTCATGGAAATCCAAGAAACAATCCCTTGTTGCCCGAAGTTCGGTAAAAGCATAATACCGAGCTATGTCCTCCGGTCGTTGTGAAGTGGTGTGGTCGTTGTCATTGCTCCATGATCCGGGTTTTGATCATAAGCATGGTGTGATCCTCGGGTGTGATAATCAATCGGCTATTCATATTAGCAAGAATCCTGTCTTTCATGAACGTACGAAACACATTGAAATGGATTGTCACTTCATCCGTGAAAAGATTCTTGCTTGGTCTCATTGTTCCCGAACATACCTTCTCTCGTTTTTCAAGTTGTAGACTTTTTTACTAAACCTTTACGACCGATCTCGTTTTCACTTTCTCTTGACCAAGTCGAGCATGCTCAACATTCATGCTCCGCTTGAGGGGGCATATTAGAAATAGAAGGGCTTATTTGTCAATTCATATTCTAATGGCTACATTTTGGTTTGTTACAAGTATGTTCAAATTTTGTTTCTTTTTCGGTTTTGTGTTGTTTTTCATTTTCGTAACTTGAATCTTCTTCACCCTCTTCTCTAGTTGATTTTATCTGGTATATAAGGAGGGTTTGTAATGTAGATCTAGAGGGGATTTTATTAAATGAAATGAGAGGAAGGTAGGTAACCGAAATTTTTTTTTTAAAAAAAAGCTTATCGTTATTGATCACAAACGCAACAAATTCCTTGAATTGAGCTTTATGTCTTGTACGGCAAATTGGCCCAAAATCAAGTGGGCCATCTTAATAGTTCATGGACCTTTTAGTACAGGTTTGGTATGGAACAGACTTAAAGTTGAGTTTGTAAAAGGGTATACAAGACGCTAAAAACGGGACAATAGAGATCGTATAACAGAGATCGTATAGAAGTCGACGTTGAAAATAATATTGATTCGTGTTTGGCATAGAGTAGAAGATATAAATGGTTTTTCTTGTCTTTGTTTGGGGTTGAAGGATCTTTGTTGTACATTTTATATTTGATACGCGATTTAAGCATTTTTCTAATTATAATTTCTTTTGAATAATTTTAAATGGTTATATTTCTTCCACTCAATAGAAAAAAATTATAATCTAAAAATCAGACGGTAAGATCTTTTTTTCCTTTCTCATTGCTTTATGCTTATTTTATATGTTTACTAACAATATTAGTTTCTTTATAAAAATCATAATAATTTCAAGTGAAGAAAAATAACAGCTATAAAAATGCATCTGTAGGAGATAAAAAAAGTTACTTTATATTTTATAATATGCATTAAATTAATAAATTAAGTAGAGAATCAAAAAGTGTATATATATATATATATAGCAATTTTTAGGAGTAAAAAAAAATCTATTGGTAACAAGAGAAAACAAACTGGGTTTGTCTGAACTGCACGTTGATTTAGGCTAACACTAAAAAGTTACTTGTCATTTGTCATGAGTTTCGTCAACGAACTCTATAGCCATCACAGACAATCCATGTTTTTTGCTTAACTAACTAGATGTTGATTTGCTATTTTAGAAATTGAATTTTAGTTGATTGTTGTACTTATTAATTCGGTCAAGAGCTAAAATTATGTAAATATAAACCATAGTTTATGTTCCTAACGGTAAATCAAAAACATATAACTCCATGTTTTTTCAAGAACTTTGGTTCCAAATAAAAAACTTATTCCACATTACAAATAAGTTTTAGAAAAAGACACCCTGATTAACATCCTTAAACTAGAAGCCAGCATGTGGTAGCTTTTCAACCATCCTGACTTGCTGCTTGTAAGTTCAAAAATCTCTCTTTCCTCTTGCTATCTTCATCTTAATTGATTCGTTTCTTCTTTCGCGGTTAGAGAATCCCTTGTTATGTTTGTGTTGTATTTTATCATACTTCGCTTCACTACATTTTTTCAAATAGTTAAGAGATGACGTTGCTTTCTTATTTAAATTAAATGTAAGTCCTTGCTAACAATCTAGGAATTAGATTTTTTTCTAAAAAAAAAAAAAGAATTAACATTTGTTTTTGGAGAATTATTTATATCTTGACAATTATAAACCCTTTATTGTTCAAATTTATTTACAGATTTCTGTTTTTCACACACGCATATATATAAAATGTTTTATTATGGTTATTGTAACATGTTATATTCGACAGACTTGTAACATATTATTATTATTTATTTTATTGTGACATATTACTTTAAAAAGTAAATATATGTCACGAATCTTAAGGGGAAAAAAGAAAGGAAAATAAAATAAATTTGGCCAGCAAGAAAAAGGTTTAAATTTTTTGCCGACCAACGTCCGCCCACCTAAACCCACCCAAAAACTGAATTTTGGATTAAAAAAAAAAAAATTGAAAGCAAGTAACCACCAAACCTAACCGAACTATTGGATATATCTTCTCTCTTATTTCAGCTCTCCATCTTTCTTCTACTTTTCTTTTTTGACCTCCCTTTACGCTTTCTCTTCTTTAATTCAAACCCTCTCTGCAATCTAATCGCAGCCTCGACGCCTAATAAAAACCAAAATTCTCCTCTCGGTTTCTTAATCTTAATCACGGAGTTTTCAGATCTATATCTCCGCTAATCACGGTAATTATTCATGATCTTCTCCTTTTTCTACCATACAATTGATTTTTTTTTTTTATTGCGAATAGTCTAGAGGGATGTTTTTTTTGGATTGATCTTTGATTTTTTATTTATTATTCTTGAAAATTTTGCTGTTGTATTGAATATTCTGTAGAATTTTAATTTGGGTTAATTAGATCAGTAGATTGCCTTTGTTTGTTTTTTTTTTTTCATCAAATAGCTGTTCTAGAAAAATAATTGGTACCCACCTAGAAATTTAGCTGGCTGAGCATATCAAGTGGTATGGATTTGGTCATTAGAAGGTTAATTATGAATTATAGGCCTTTGATATTGGAGAAATGGTTAAGCTTTACCTGGATTTATTTTTTTAAGCCACTTGAACTTTCGTTTAAAAGGCCATGTTGACATGAGCTGGACCATGAAAATAAGCACAAAATTTGGGAAAAATAATGAGAACATAAGCGATTTGACTTATTATGTGACCCTGGTTTCAGCTTTTTAGGACGAGTTTATTATTTTTGCGGTTCAACGTTATTCATGTTTTTTTTTAATGCCTAATTTTCAGGAAGAATGTCTTTTGCACGGAATTATCGCTCACAAGGAGGAACCTGCCATGATGATTGGTGGAACTCTTTCGTTGGGAACAATTTCAACCATAGAAATAGGAACATGAATGTGAATAGGAACACCAACTACAATTACAATTGGAATCACAACAATTTCTGTGACTTCTCGGGGAAATTCAGAGACCATGTTACTGTTTATGCTAATCCTCCTTGCATTGCACCTGCTTTTAAAAGGAGAAAATTTAGTGTGGATACTTGGGGAGATGGTGGGAGACACTATCCTCAGTACAATGCATATGAATCCGCTGATCTATCAACTTACAACAATTCAGTCCCTCTGCCTACAAGATCCAATGCTGAGGTCTCTACATCTACAAGTTGCAAACGTGATCGCTCAAAACTGGAAGAAGATGAACCAGTATTTTTTTCAAAGGATGAGATTGAGAGACACTCCCCGTCAAGAAAAGATGGAATTGATGCACTACGTGAAACACATCTACGGTATTCTTATTGTGCCTTCCTTCAGAATCTTGGGCTGCGGCTGGAATTGTAAGTGGTTCCTACTGGAATGTGATCCCAGTCATGATTTTTTGTTTCGATGCATGCTTATCAGAATTTCCATGTAATTAACGAACTCTTTTGATTCTCGCAGGCCGCAAACTACTATTGGCACTGCCATGGTTTTGTGCCACCGGTTTTTTGTTCGACGATCGCATGCTTGCCACAATAGATTTGTGAGTTTTAAATGCTCGTGCTTGAATTTTTGACTATGTTACTTTTTGGGAGGATACTTTGCATGTGGTCATTTCAGAGGGAAAACTATTTTACTTTATTAACCTTCCCTGAATTGTGTTAGCATTCCCCCTGGTGCTATTTCTATAAGAGAATAATGTAATTAGCTGTTTAGAACTTTGAGCTGATAAAAAAATAAATACTTATTATGTCTAAACTGATGGTTAATCTATGGAAACCTGGCTTACTCTCTTAGGTTCACTAGGTTGTCTTGATTTGGAAATTGACAAGTCCTCTTGGCTAATGATCTCTCCTCTGCTGAAGGTTGAGTTAGAACTTTCAATTCAAAACAATTCTTTTGACACAAGGGTCTGGCTTGTGTAGCTGCGTTGTGTACGCAATCTGATACTGCAGCATTCTGCATTTTTAACTTAAAAAAAAAAAAAAAAAACAGACAACCTGTTTTGTCTGTTTGTATTGCTTATCTTTTGGTGTTTTTAGATTTGTTGAATCTATTTTTTGTTCCTTTTATTTTTCTGATTTCTGGTCAGTTATGACTTGTTTAATCTTGGTATGATTTCTCATACTTGCATGACTGCTTTCTGATGATGCTTGCAATATGATTATGTGATAAATCTAGTGCATGCTTCCTTTTTATGATGGTCATGTTCGTCATATATGTTTTCCGCTTGTTGCAGTTAATTGCAGTTGCTGCACTTTTTCTCGCTGCAAAGTCTGAGGAGACGCCGCGTCCTTTGAACAATGTAGTGAGAGTCTCTTGTGAGATTTTCCACAAGCAGGATATTACTTTCTTGTCGTACCTGCTCCCTGTTGTAAGTATCTCGCTGGCTGCTCAATCATTTCTTATCTGTTGTATCTATTACAGGGGAAAAATGTAAATTGTGTCCGTTTTAAAAATATAAAAAGGATAACATAAAATATGCTCACGTCCCTCTTTGAATTCATCCATGGAGGTCCTATCTCAAAACATGTTGAATTTACTTCTTATTGGTTAACTTGTACCCTATTTCTTGCATAGCATGAAATTTCAAAGTGACAAACATGTGGTAATCTAACCTATTTGTGATAGTGGTTCCACTCGTGCATTTTATTTTTGAGTTATTTTATTTTATTTTATTGAAAATCTGTAGCCTCAGGTCTGTAGCATGCTAACATGAAATGAGTTTTTCTAAACAGGACTGGTTTGAACAGTACCGGGAGCGAGTGATTGAGGCTGAGCAAATGATTCTGACTACACTAAATTTTGAACTCAATGTGCAGCATCCATATGGTCCTCTTACATCCATCCTTAGCAAATTAGGTCTTTCACAAACTGTGTTGGTGAATCTGGCGCTAAACTTGGTCAGTGAAGGGTAAGTGTACTACTTTCAATATGATATATTTTATTGGATCTTTAGATTTGTACCAGTGCGGTTCATTTATCAGTTAGTTTCAGTGTCAAAATGAACTAGCTTTTATCAAATGGACTTTTGTACAACAATAATAATTCTGATCGTGCTCCTTTCTTCAGGAAGCAGTTTGATTTGGACCGTTTTGTTGTAAATATATTGTATCTGGATTTTCTCACACTAGTTCAGCTAAAGACATGGTTTAAGATTTAGCAAGTGGTCTTGCAGCTATGATGGCTTGTCTGTGTCTATAGATATGGACTGGTTAGTGTCTAAATCCCAACTACTCAGAAGGCTTGTTGGGGATTCGTGGTACTTGGCCATGGAGATTATGTGCTGGGTTCTTCTCTCTCTCTTTTGGTTCAACATAGTTGTGTACTAGTCTCAATGGTTTTCTTCTTTCAAGCAACTACTCTACGTAGTTATTCTGGTATGGGATATTGATGTTTTTGGCATGGCATATAATTGCAGGGTCTACACAAGATTAACGTGCTCACCTGTATGATATTGTTAGCTGGAGGATTGATATGCTGTGCATGGAAAGTTTTTTAAACATCTGAAGTTGCTTTGCCGATGTGTTGTGGATCACATTACTGTGATTTGCTATACCCTCATCAACCGGGTTATTTCCTAAAAGATAGCCTCGGAACATCCAAAACCTTTTTGCATTCAATGTTCTTCTCACTTTCTTCTTCCTTTTTCATACTTTCATTTGGAGCAAGTTTTCTAGCCTCCTTGTACAAACTTAAAGTTTGTAAGACATGGCTGCTTGTTCGGTTAGTGTCCATTCACCCTGATTTGGAGGAAACTAATTGATTTGGCAAGAATCAAGTGCCATAGGGACTGGGATTTCTTTTGTTTTTATGTTTTTCCCTGTCCTTAATTACTTTTGCCCTTATTTTCTACACGGCACAAGTCCTTAGATATTCTTTTTTCAAAAAAAGAAAAAAAAAGAAAATCATTTTGCATTAACTCTTTTCTCTCCAGTATTTGGTGGCACTTTTTTGGTTCCGTTTCACTATGATGAAGTTATTTTAGAATAAGAGTTCAATAAATTGTCCAACAAGTGTAGATGCTCGAGTGTCAGAAGGTTGTGTAGCTGAACAGTGCAATTGATTTTGAGTACTGATGTGCAGTGTGAGATCACCACTTGTGTACCTTAAAGTTAGTCTGAAAGTCACCATGTCAGTGATTTGTGTTGGTTAGCTGGCAGAAAATTGTTTGAATTTGTCAGCATAGATAGAAATTGAGAAAGGAACAAGCAACATGCTAATTTGTCCTTAGTCCAATAGGGGGTGATGGTCACAGTATGCCAATTGAGCTATGGCTCATTGGCACAAACATGTCAGTTTCTCGGTTCTGGTAAACTCAGATATATAAAATGCATAGATAAATTATTTGTTTGGAAACAATTGGCATGCAAACCAAAGTACATCTCAAGACCTGGCATAGATCATGTTGGGACACATTTATATTTATCACGATCCTAATATAATGGCTTCTTTTAGTTGTGGTGCAGTTTCAGTCTGATACTTTGGCTGTTTCAAAGACAACTAAATTGGGAATAACTGCGACTTTTGTTGTGCACTTGTTGTCATTAAATGTACTTCCTAAACCTCCAGGACTATGAATGGAAGTGGTGCTACTGCTTGTAGTCAAATGGCTTGAAAAATCAGCCAGGAAATATGCCTAAAATTTTATAGCTTTTCGAAAATCTTTCATTATCATTATTGGTTATTGGCCTGTCTTAGTGCATAGAGCTCCCTGCATTGCTAGTGTCTAGGAGAAATTTAGATGGAGTTATCACTATATTTTTTTCTTATTGTCATTTGCTGCTATTGTTATAATTTCTATAAATATTGCTGTTGGTATAAAAATACCTTATATTATTGTGCATGGTGCACATACATATGGTGAGCTGTGTTGTCTTTTTAAGCTTAGCTATCAATGGCACCTGGAACAAGTTACAGTAGTAGCCTGCTACATTTTGTTTTAAATACATTCAGACATTTGCAGATCAGAGTATATTGAATTTTCTTTAGGAATTCTAAAAACATGTGAAGCTGGAACTTTTCCCTTTATTAAAATTGGAGTTTGAGTCCAACTCCATTCTCACTCTGCCTTTAGGGCTTTGCTTGATTAAAGGAGAGATACTATTGAGCATAACCACTCGATCTCGTTGAGCCTGGGGTTCCATATGTCTTCCATGCTAGGCTTGGGGTGGCAATATCAGGCCAGAGGTTGTTCTTTGCCAGGCTTAATTAGCTTCATAAGTGATCACTGCTACTTTGTCGGTTCATGGTGTTGACGGCCAATGATGAGCTGCATTGGAATATATTTTCCCTGTAAGTTAAAATTTTGAAATTTGGATCTGTTTTTCTTTTTGTAAAAAGAATGAAGAAACAACACCTTTCATGGGTCAATGCCATAAGCTGTTCTTAATCTTGAAGGGAGACTGTAGGCTGAGGGGCCAAGTTAGCAAAACAATGTTATAACACTATGTTTTACTTTGTTTTCCCCCAGCGTCAGACATTGACCCCGCTAATATTCTATCCCATTTACCCCGAGCTTCCTTCTAACTCTCCATCTTTGAACTTTTTCAAATCAAACATGCTTTTCTATTTTTTACCACTATCAGTTTTGGTAATCCCTTATAACAGTTTGAGCTTTTAAATAATTCACAAGTATGGTTCAAAAGTTATCAGAACCCTTCCATATAGCATGGCATTATATATATGGAGTAATCCAGTTTACAATATCTGTATTCAATTATGCCTTATCCTTCTCTTCTTGTGGATGTAAATGTTGCTTATAGCTGCTAGAGGATTTGGGATGGTGGTATTCTATATCTGGGGTAGCGTGCGTGGTTCATGAGCATTAGTTCATGTGTTTTGACAAGCCTTTCCAGATCAAGTTGTTGAGCAGAAGATGCAGAATGTGCTGCTAGTTATTATTTGTTTATTATTTGAATTGTGTATGTTTCTGGAGTTAAAAAGCCCCTACATCAGAATGGGCCTGGGAGTCGATGTGTTTATAAATGAGTGTGATGTTTGTTATAGTTTTGGTACTCTATCAGCAATCCTGCAGAGTTTCTTGCAAAATATTCTTCCTGGGTTGCTGCTTTTTTGGTGGGTAAGAGAAACTTGCATTTTTTTTTTTTTTTTGTACTTGAATCCGTAATTATATACTTTCTACTAGTATTTTGGTTTTTCTGTGTTTGTTTATCTGTTCTACTTGGACTGCTAATATGCTTTTCCTCAAAATTTGACAATGTGCTAAATTGCAAAGGAGACGTGGTTTCCTTATTATCACTGTGAAACTGGTTGGTTTGACAGTTTTTGCATCTCGCATCGTTGCTGGCTAATGGTGGTTTTAGTACACTTTATAAAAGCTATTATTTTGTTTTGTAGGCTTCGGAGCTCCTTGTGGCTTCAGTTTAAGCCCCATCACATTGCTGCTGGTGCTGCCTATCTTGCTGCCAAGTTCCTAAATTTTGATCTTGCTTTTTACCAGAATATCTGGCAGGAGTTTGAAACAACACCAGCTATTCTCCAAGGTAGCTACACATAAATTTCATAAGTTATATGAATTCATTATACTGAAGTTTAGTTACCAAATAAATAGCATAAAACTGGCAATTTTATTAATCTTTAGATATGCTGATAAAATCTATTTGGGTTACTTAGTTGTGAATGTAGGACTGATTCTTTCATTTTTGGATCAGATGCTTGCATCAATTTTATGATTCTTTGAGAATGTATGTAGACAAATATCAGTATATTGTTCAGGGTGACGAACTCCTTTTTTTTTTTATTTAAAGCAAAAATAAAAAATAAATTTAAATTGAAGTAGCAACCAAGGGTGAAAAAATGGCTATATGGGTTTGCAGGCTTTCACCATTTTAACTTTCCGTGTCTGTCTTGTGCATCGACATGTCCACGTGTGTGCGTGCTTCTCTCCGTGCTTCTGTTGTGAAATTTGTGTTTGCATTTGATGAGCCTTTCTTGAATTAACTTCATACTGAATACTTCCACCACACGTCGCATAGCTTCTTATTACTAATTCATTTGTATGTGACTATGTGATGCAGATGTATCGCAGCAGCTGATGGAGCTCTTCTAGTAAAATAGCATAGTACTCTATCATTGTTCACCCTCGAGGGTGATGCACTTTGGGTGTTCGTATAGTCAGGTCAGAACACGTGTGTTTAATATCATTACAAAGATGATCAATGCTGATTATAGTGTGATTGTCATGCAAGAGAGATGATAAGAGATGCTCATCTCAAAAAATTAGCGGTTGAAATACAGGTTAAATGGATCTGTAGTTTGACGTGTATGTACTTGCTGCAAGAGTGTTGGTGGATCTGTAGTTAGACGTGCAAGTACTTGCTGCAAGAGCGTCGGTCTAATTGAATGACAAATTAGCTGAAAGCTTAAACTTGAGTGGTGTCCATTGTCAGTTTAATTTATGACTCAGGTTTCAAAGTTGTGTGCCTCTTTGCGAGAGAAAGCATTTAGCGTATTTGGTTCCTTTCCTTGGAAGGGCCTTATGCATGATCCTCATACAAGATTGCAGTTGGTAGTGCAAATTGAAGGTCTCTTATGAATCTGGAAAAATGGTAGATGATTTACTTTTAACATATCAACAAAGCTTTCGGGTGGTAGCGTTGAAAATATGAAGCACGCTCATGATATTTGAGTTGGCAATTTTGGCAGCAATGCAGTGATTATAATTCTGACTGATTTCGTTATATATGGCTAAAAAAATGGTAATAAGTTGAATATTAGGGTCAGTGCTTCTAAAATTTAGGTAAAATTCAAAGTGGGGAAAATTTTCCCATCGTGTTGGATGGGGGTGATTTGCTTCTGCCTACAGATGTTATTATGTTACTCTGTCATGAGTTGGCAACATTCCTGTACTTGCTAACTCCTACGCCACGAAAGTTAGTAAAGAAGCAAAAAAAAAAAAAAAATTGTATGTGGGGAAAACTAAATAGAAGAATTTTTTTGGAGAAGCATTAATGCTGCTGTCGATATTTATAGGAAGGAAGTTTTGGAGGAAAATTTTGTCCTTCGAAGAAAACAGGAAATGGAAATGGAAAGAAGGTGGGGGTTAAAGGAGATAGAGAGGAAATGGGTTCGAAGGGGTTGGGGGATCCTTCCCTGTGGCAAAATACTGGCCAGTACAATCTAGAAAGGAAATAGATTTGAAGAGGTTTTCTTCTTTTTTTTTTTTTTTTTTTTTTGTTTGGGAGTTCGTCGGAGTCATGTTAAGCTTAAAGTTACCCGTCATTTCTTTCATTAGATAATTATTAAATAAATTGAAGTTATTGAATCTATTTCACTAATCATTAGACTGTCTACTTGTGCAATTGATAGAAGTTGCAGTAATAGATTGAGCTTAAAATGGAGAACATGAAGAAAGTACCACTTTTTAAAATAGAGAGAGTGATGACCGGAGACGATTTATGAGTTGAAGGCTCAAATTGTTTTAGTACTATATCGATTTCGGTTCGTGTTCTTTTATTGTTGTTTTGGTCTATTTTGTCCCTCAATTGTATTTTTTTATTAAATATGTATTTGGATTAAGTTTTGAGTATAAACCATGGTAAGTTAGGACACATGACATGATTAGAAAAGTGCCATGTGTCTAAAACTGCATTTTGAAATAAAATTTTCTCTATGTAAATTTATATATTATAAAAAAAATTTCATTTTTTTATAATTTTACATAAATTTTTTCCTTTAAATTTCAGTTTTAGACGTGGTACCTTCTAATCACGCTACCGTCCTAAACTAATTCTAATTTGCACTTAACTTAATTCAGGGACATAATAAACCGAAAAAATACGAGCAAGAGATATAATAAATCAAAATAATAGTTCATGGATGTATTAACTCAAATCAATATGGTACAGGTTCCAACAGGAATCCCTCGGAAGGAAGAGGACTTTTAAGGGGTATTTCAAGTTTTTGTTCTTTCTTAGAAGTAACTAGATTTTTTATCCGCGTTATGCTACGAGTTGGATAAAATATATAAAATCATTTAAAAAAATATTTCAGTTTAATAATCTGTTTTATATTAACTAAATAAACTAAAATAAAATGATAGGTTGGATAAAATATATAAAATCATTTAGAAAACATATTTCAGTTTAATAATCTGTTTTATATTAACTAAATAAACTAAAACAAAATGATAGGTTATACACTAACATTTCACTATTTATTTTTTTACATTTTGGTCCTTGGTCTTTGCCAATGCATCTTTTGGTTCACATCTTTATTTTCTCATCCATTTTGATCCCTGGATGAGAGAGAAGGAAGGAGGGAAGAGAGAGACAGGAGGACGGAGAGAGATCGCCGACCAAGTTTATTTAAGCCACTTTGGCTAGCGAACGTCGAGTAGATTTTTTTATTTTTGAGCAATAAGTTTGTCCATGGTTGTTTCTATCCATGAAATAATTAGAGGAGTTAGATCGGAGCTAAAAAAGGAACTAATGTTCCAATTTGATTGTGTAATTTTTTTTTATTATTTTTTTGTGCATTAAAATGATTTTCAATGTTTTAGATATGTTATTGGCTTTATTCCGGTCATTTATAGGTGTTTGGAAAAAAAATGATGTGAAATTCAATTTCTAAAGGTCCGAACTTGATCCTCAACTTTCCGACGACCTCGATTCGTCGGAAGCTATAGCATGTTTTTTTTTCATTATTAAAGCGACGACCCATACTTGACACGCGAGCACTGGTTGTTTTTCTTTTGTTTTTTTTTTTCCTTCCATTTCGGCTTAAGAAATAGCTTTTTATTTTGGTTCCTTTTTTTTGTCATTAAACTTTTCCGATCTTTGATTTTTATCCCTATTAGAAATATTAAAATTTTATTATATGTGATTTTTATCCTTATAATCAATTTTTTTTTTAACTTTTAGTAAAAATTTATGTTCTTTTTTTATTTTTTAATATGTTTTTATTTTAGATATTAAAATTTTCTCATATGTAATTTTTATCCTTATTATACTAAAACTAAATAAAGTTTACTATCCTCGGGTTGTTTTTTTTTAACTGAAATTTTCTTTCTATTCTAATTTATGTTTTGTTATTTATTTATTTTTTTCTTTTTGCCATTAAATTTAGTAGAATTTTTTTTTTTTTGTAATTGTTTTTTATTTTGATCATTAAATTTGTTTTCCTACAATGAACTATTTTTTACTTTTGGTAAAACTTTTTATTATATTTTGGTTTTTGTTTTATGATCTTTTATTTATTTTGATCATTAAACTTTTATTATATTTAATTATTATTCATTTTACATTAAAATTAAATACATTTCAACTATGCTAAGTTTTTTTTTAAATTTTTAGTGAAAAAATTTTCTGTTTTGATCCTTATTTTATTAATTTTTTTATTTTAATCATTAAAATTCTATAATGTTTACTTTTGTTCTTACCTTATGCATAATGAAATTTGTTTAGTCTTATTATTTATAAGTATTTTTTGTATGCTTTTAGTGAAAGTTTTATTTATTTATTTTTATCTTTTTTATAATCTTTACTTTGTTTTAATCATTTAATTTTTATCGTGTATAATTTTATCTCTATTTTCTTTGTCAAATTCTCAATTTGACATATCTTTTGTCTTTTTGTTTTGAGTGGTCTCTCTGTCTCATTAACAAATTACAAATGAATAATATATAATAAAAATTAATCATCAAAAATTGAAAAAACTACCATATTATTAATTTAATTATCAGCTATTAATAAAATACATGTTTATATCAAACAATATCGAATTAGCAACGTTATATTACTCAACTTTGTAGACTTTTCATTTAGCTAATTCGTAGCAAATTATGAAATATATTTTTTAGTTTTTTTAAAAATAATGATTTATAAATGCTAAATTTTATATTAATGAATGCATAAGAATGTTATATAACTCACCCGTGGCAACGCGCAAGATATATGCTAGTTGTGAATCTATAACAATATATGAAATCAAAGGTAAAAAAATAATTATAATTTTTTAATCAAAAATTTTGTAATTAACTATTTCTTATTTGTGTATTTCATATTTTTTTCTTTACAAAAGGATTTATCCTTAATAATCCATTGATTATTAACTAAAAAAAATTAAATATTAAAAAAAAACTTTAGTATTTTATAAGATTGTGTCGAAAAACAAAAATAACAATTACTAAAAGCTTATATAGAATTAAACAAATATTTTATTTTTTATTTCATATTGATGGGAATATCGATTTTTGAAAAAAAATGTGAATTTAATTTTTATTAATTGGATGAATAATATTAAAAAAATCAAAACTATGAGTAAATATAATTTTAAATTAATTGGATGAAAATTTAAAAGAAATGACAAATTAATGAAAATAGTAATAAATGACAAACTATGAGTAATAAGATTCTTCATTATAATATATGTATTTTTTTTTTTTGAGAAATACATCTTATGTAATTGTTAATTAATAAATTATGTTATGTGATAGTATGTGCTTATAGACATAATTATTTTTTGAAAAAAAAAGTATTTTTTCAAAAATGAAAATAAAATAATGGTCACACCAAAAGAAAAATTAGGTATTCTAAATTTTAGAAATAAATAATAGAGGAAATAAATTTTTGGTTTCTTTAAAATTTTAACACCCAATTAATTTTTGATTCCTTTAAAATTTTAACACCCAACATTATTAAGAAACAAAAATTAAAAAAAGAAAAAAACAGTTCAATGTTTAAGGAAAAAAAAACGAGAGAGCCAGCTGTTAATTGTTCATATGAACGAGTAAACGAATGAAAATTTAAAAAAACAACGTTGAGTGTTTAGAAAGATAAAAAAGGGAGGGAGGGGGCAAGGCGTTTCTTGTTCAAATGAACGAGTAAATGAAACAAAAAAAGCCGAGAGGTGCTAGGAAAAATTTTTTTAAAAAAAAAACTAAAGGACGACAATGAACAATGATAATAAATTGTTCATTGTTACAATAAAAAAACATTTTACTTTAGTTTATAGTATAATAATTGTTCATAATATGTTTGTATTTTGTGAAGATGAAACGAAAACAATGACATGCCTCAAACATCTTTCTTTTTTTTTATTTTTTTTTAA